CAGATTATTGGTCTACTAGACAAGAAACACCCGGCGTATCATTGTCATTTAGACAATATATGTTATATAGAAGGTTCCAGAACATTATTAAATACTTAACACTTACTAATGTACCAATGAATGATGATCTATATCATTTTGGCTGCCAGTTTCATGATGCATTTAATGATAACCTTTCTCATGCTATTACACCTGGAGACTACTTGTGCATTGACAAATCAATGTATCAATGAATGGATAAAATCGATAAAGGACCATTTCAAAGAAAAATCCTAAGAAAGCCTCACTTAGTTGGTTGTAAATTCAAAACTGTGGCAGATGTCCAGACTAATTTGTTTTTGCAATTGGATCCTGTGAAGCCTCCTGAATTTGCTAGAAAAAAAAAATTTTCAGATCAATATATGGCAACAGTTGCACCTATATTACGATTAACTGAGCCATGGTTTAATAGTGGTAGAACTATTATAGCAGACTCCTGGTTTGATAATATAAATACAAGTATTACTTTGTATAAATATAGATTCTATTCTATTTTGTAATTAAAAAAATGATGTTATTGGCCAAAATATATTCCCTCTAATATTACAGAAGTTTTTGATAGTGAATATGGATCAATTAATAGTCAAATAGGAAAATTTGATGATGTTAATCTTATAGTGTGTTCTCTTCGTGATCGCAAAGATATAGTACAGTGCGGGACACCTTAAACTAGCAAATAAAAAACAATTTATTAAAAATTCTTAATAAAAACAAAAAATATAATTAATTGTAAAAATTTTTTTGTAAAAACATGTAAAATAACAAGAAGAACAAAGTTACAAGAATTATTTATTTGTTAGTTTAATTTTAACAATGCTAAAGGCTTTTAAAAGTTGACCATTTTCAATAAGTGTTACTAGTAAGAGATAAAAATTTGGCCGGCTCAAAAAAAGACCAAAAAATCATGTGATCGGAAATCTACGTTTATGATTGGTCAAAAACTAATATAAAAAAAATTGTGCGATAATCTTTTTTTCATTACAGTAGAGACGCTAGTCCAGTAGTTGCAAAGACAGATCCTATTTCTGTCTTGAATAAGCTTTCAAGATTTAATTTTGTGGTTTACTGTGTTCGCAGTTACTTATAAACTAAGCCATAACACCATTGTAAACTACCTGGTATGCCGCAATTATCCAAAAGAAAAATACAACTAAGAAAGTGTTAGGAGCAAAGGAAAACCAAACGACAATGTAAAAAAACTGGTAATAATGAAAAAGCAAACACCTTTACAAGGCTGCTACAAGCAACTCCGGAAGTAATTACTCGCAGACCACTTGTATACAATGGGAACTCAAAAAGATCAGGGAGATGGCGAAGGCAAATGTAATGAAAAGATGCAGTTGGAACTTACAAATTGGAATCTTTTTGGTCATCTGTAAGTTTGATTTTTTTTTTTTTTTTTTGATTTTTTTGATTTTATTTTTCATTTAATTAATGGCTAGATTATAATTGAATCTGTGATTATTGTAGGTAACTCTAGATACAAGCACAGATGATAATTTTGAAAGTTCAGACAATTATTCTGAAACTGATACGGAAACTGAAAATTATCCAAACCTAAGTAGCTTTATTGAACTACTAAAGATCGAAGTTAAGACTAAAAATTATAATAAGATTGAAAGTGCCTGCCTTCATGCAATATTGTTTTACCTTCGTCTTGTGAAATGTGGCAAAGGAAGGATAGAAGCTAGTGTTATCGTAGCGAAAGCTGCCGGAAAAAATACTTACTGTGCCCGTTCAATACGTGCATGGGCATCAAATTATATTCAAAATGGTGTTTACCCAATTTCAAGACAAGGAAAATATCCAAAGACTTGAAGTTTTTTGTGGGATGATGATGTTCTATTAAAGATCAAGTCTTTTTTACAGTCAAACAAATGGAATGTCTCTCCTAAAAGTTTTGCAGATTATGTAAATGAGGAAGTACTTCCTGAACTTTGCTTTGATCCTTCACCGACCATAAGTATAAAAATGGCACGCAGATGGTTGAAAGAATTTGGGTTTGAATATTCAGAAGTAAAGAAAGGCATGTATATAGATGGTCATGAACGTGTAGATGTCTTGGCTTATCGGGAAATTTTTTTAGAGAGGATGGAGGATTATGAAAAAAACATGATAATTTTTTCTGGTGAAGACATGGAAATAGAAACCTGGTCCGGTGTTAACCAAATTATAATTTTGGTGACGCATGATGAATGTATTTTTTCAGCGTACGATGGAAGACGTCAGTTATGAAAACTGAAAAAAGAACAACCGCTGCGTAAGAAGGGTCAAGGGCGATCTATCCATGTGAGCGATTTTCTTACTGATGTTGCTGGGCGCTTGGCATTGCGTGAAGAAGACAAGGTATGCTTTTATTTTTTTATTTTTATTTTTATTTTTATTTATTTTTTTTTAATTTTATTTTTTTTCTTTTCAGAAAAATTTAAGGCTTTTTTCCCCAATATTCCAACAGAAGCATGTGTTATAACACTCCCAGAAAAAAATGGTGATGGGTGGTAGAACTCGGATAATCTTGTGGATCAAGTAGTGAACCGTACAATTCCAATATTCGAAGCTCGGTTCCTGGGTGCAAAGGTCCTTTTTGCATTTGACAATACTACTAGTCATTCGGCGTATGCTGATGATGCCCTTTTAGCCCAAAATATGAATTTATTGCCAGGTGGAAAACAAGCAAAAATGAGGTATGCATATCAAATTTATTGATTGTTAAACCTTTATGTTAATGTTATTCATATTTGTATATTGTACAAACACCCAAAAACACTGTATATGATAATGGTGTTATGCAAGAAATGTGTTTTCCTATGGATTATGAGATTCCTGAATTGCGTAGTGAACCAAAGGGTTTGAAAGAAGTTTTAACAAAAAGAAAATTGTGGCATGATGGAATGAGGTTGACATGCAAGGGTGGGTGTAAGAAAGAAAGAACGGATTGCTGTGCTAGAACAATGATGGTAAACCAACCAGATTTTAAAGCACAACAGGGAAAACTTGAAGAGGCAATTACTTTCGAGGCATGAAGTAATATTCTATCTGAAATTTCATTGTGAGTACTTGAAGAGGCAATTACTTTCGAGGCATGAAGTAATATTCTATCTGAAATTTCATTGTGAGTTAAATTACATCGAAAATTTTTGGGGATCGGCAAAATGATATTCACAAAACCACTGTAACTATATGTGGGAGGGTCTAAAGGGAACAGTACCGCAAGCTCTAGCATCAGTGCCATTGAGTGAAATCAGAAGGTATGCTCAAAAATCTTTTAGATATATGGATATGTATCGTAAGGGTTTAACTGGTAAAGCTGCTGAATATGTAGTGAAAAAATATCAATCACATCGTCGTGTCTCAGATTTAATTTTATTTGATACAAATGTAATAGAAAATTAAAGTCAAATAATTTGATTAAAATAAAGTAAATAAAGTTTAGTTACTTTGCATTGCATTGCTTATTTTCTTTGTAAAATTGTGATTCTTATAATTATTAACTTTTTCACAAAATAATCGTGATTGTGATTGTGATTGCGATTGTTAAAGCTGGCCAATATATTATAAAGCTGAGTATGTATTAGTTTATCACAAACTTAAATTCATAATAAATTGATAAGTTTTAGCAATCGAAATCACAATCATTTTAGAAATAATTATTTAATTGCGCATTATATAAAATAAGGTCAATAATAAAACTTGTTAATAAAGCAAACTAAATAATTTCTAGTTTATTATTTTAATTACCTTTATTAAATACTGTAATTGTTTGTGTTTGAAATTGTATAAGTTAAATTACCTTTTTATTTATTACTGTTTTTTATATTTTATGTTTTTGTTTCTTTGGATTTATCAAATTTGATTGGTTGGAAATCACATGATCTTCCTCTGTATATACATCCCAATTTGGCCACCTAAATTTATAGTTGCTGGTTTAAGGTGTTCCACACTGTATTACTTAATAATTGCTTAACAACAAGTTTTAAAAGTGAAATAAAAAATACATTAAAGGATATGGTGATATAAAATTTATGCGGCCTGCCCTTTTTGATGAATATAATGAATACAGATTAGCTGTAAATACACTTAACAATTTGCATGATAATGCTCTTTCTTATCATGATATTCTTTCAAATAAATGTTCTACAAATTGTATTCTTGCTTTTTACTTATCTGTCACAGAAGCAAATAGTTATTCTGCATATTGTTAGTTTATCCTAGATAAAATAAATCTGAAGCATGTGGATTTTTGTAAGCAGCTAGTAAGTGCAATATTTGACTGCTATTCTGGTAAACCTGTTGCAAATTAGGCTAGAAAACGGCAAAAACACAATAAAAATGATCTAACAATAGTTGAACATCATCTTGTTAGTCTAAAATGTAATCTTGCAACCTCAAAACTAAAAGGAAAACGTGTGCAATGACATTGTTTAAGCTGTCATAAATGTGTAACTACTTGCTGCTCTTGTATAATTACATGGGCTTTATGCACAACTTGCTGGGCCAAACATATATGTGATATATATAACTCTGTTACAACAAGGTAAAAAAACCATTGATATAGATTCTTTAACACTTATTTTACTATATTATAAAGGCACTACTAATAATCTTTTTTAGATAAGCTATAAAGAAACTTCAAATAGTGTACTATATGTAGTACACCTTTTTTGCAAATTTATATTATGTGTTTAAAATTATATAATTTTTTATTATATAATTAAAATCAAAAAAAGATATTGCCAATATACAAAATTAGTTTTATTAAATCTTTTAATTTAAATTAGTTGATTTTTGAGCTCTCTATAAATTTTATAAAATGTACTACCAGTAGTACAAAATGTGAAATTATATCCATTAAGGGTAGGGTGTCTGTAGATCATTTTTCATATGATCTACATGGTATATTAAAATTTTAGATAGACAGCAAAAATTTGGCACTGATAAAACTTTTTAGAATCATGACTAATCTTCACCAAATTTTTCTAGTATATAATTTGAGGTCTCTTATTTATAACAGTAAAATTATAAACACTATATCTTTTAAAAAAAATCTACTTCATATATTAATAAAATTACTTAAGTTGCTTCAAATTTACTTAGGTTGCACAAAAATTACTGATTTTGATTAGTCAAATTTGTTGTTTTTACGATTCTGATTAGTTAATTACATGATTTCATATGAATACTATATGATTATTATTAAAAATGATCTACAGACATCCTACTCTTAATGAGATTATATACGAAGCACCACACATGTAATTATGAACCAATCACATTTTAACAATTGACAAAGATATATCGCAAACCATTAATCTTCCCCAGTATCACTACCAAAATGTTATTTTTACATAATCACTAAAAAAAACTCATTTAATTTGTTTATGTTAGAGTTAACATTTAAACTAATACTAAAAAATAAAAAGATTATAGTAAAATTACTCAAGAAAATTTTTTGTTATTGCATGAAAGGTGGTTTCATATATGAATTTTTGAGAAATAAACAATTTTTGACAAAATTGATATTTGTTTTGGATCTTTACGATCGTATTATATTATACCAAATTGTGATTAATATATTACACCAAATTGTGATTAATTATTGGCTAGTGTTGCAAGCTAGCTAAAGCAGCTGTGGCTAAAGCAGCTTAGCCAGCTAAGCCAGCTGATAAAAATGTATCAGCTGGCTAATGCAACTTAAGATCACAAAACTTTAAAAATATAATTTAGACTGAAATGATAATACTAGGCAGAATTAAGTAATAAGTTCTAAAAAAAAAATAATAGAATATAAAATACAAGCAAAAATAAAAAAAAATTTGAGTAAATATTTAATAATTTCTGAAAATAAAAAATTTGGCTTTAGTTATTAACCAGCTATTTAGCCGATTTTTTTGTCAGCTGACTAAGCCAGCCAATAAAAACCTCATAGCTTGAAACACTATTATTGGCTAATTTGATGTAAATCGTTACATGAAAGTAACATTTTGGTGGCAATATAATCAAAATCATATAATTTTGGTATTATTGAAGGCGAATCTACAGGCATAGCAAAACACGTGATTTATCTTCTTATCAGCACAACAATGATCGATATGAACATCCCAAATTTTTAACATGAATTTTAAAAATGTTTCTAACTTTGAACAAAGATATCTCAACAACCAGCTAACTGAATTTGATAAACTTTTTTTTATTTTTATTTTACAAAACTATAAAATCATAATAAAAAGGTTTATCAACTTTAGTTGACTAACTGCTGAGGAAATTCTTGAAAAGTCAAATATCTATTAATGTATAAACTTTTGTAAACTTTGAGTGAAAATACTTGGTAACTACTCAACTAAATTTAATAAACCTTGTTTTTATTTCGATTCTAAGTATTTAAATATAAAAAAAACATTGAATTTAGTTGGGTGATTGCCTAGTTATCTTGCTCAAAACCTATTTTTAATTTTTGTAAAACTTTAAAAGAATATATCTCAGCAACTCTAACCAAATTCGATGAGCTTTTTTATATTTTTATTTACAATACTCAGAATTGAAATAAAATTTTTGGTTGATTTCCAAGTTAACTTTGCTCAAAACTTTGTAAAATTTTTCCACAGCCATTATTTTGATAGCGTTATGAATTTTCAAAGACTTTGAGCAAAAATACCTCAACAACCACACCAAGCTCGATCAAAATTTTTAATTATAATTCTAAAGCCTTGTATATTCAAAATAAAAAAAAACATCAAATTTGGTTGGCTGGTTGTCAAGATATCTTCACTCAAAGTTATAAAGATAAGTGATTTTAAAATTCATATTAAAATTTTGGGGTGCTTATGTCGATCATTGCTGTGCCGATAAGGCGATAAGTCATGTGTTGCTGTGCCCATAGCATTCGCCTTATTGAATCGTCTTGATGAGACGAATCTAATGGTACCAAAATCATATGATTCTGATCTGTTAGTGCTCCAAATTAGGGGGTCCGCTAAAGCCTTGTACCCACGTGACTTTTTCTATGTAGACACCAATCAAAATCATGAGATTTTGTTTACACGGATCAGTCCGAAGAAATCAAAACGAAAAAATATGAAAAACGGCAGTCTAAACCTATCTTGGTATATTAATAAAAAATGTCGGGAAGGGAATTTTACCTATATACCTGCCCTTACCTTAACAATAAACTAACCCTAACCCTAATTACAATTAAAACTTCGAAAGTCACGGGGTACAAGGCTTTAGCGATCCCCCAAATTAGGCATATCTACCTTATATTGTACTAATACAGTCGATACCATCAGAGACTTTTTTTTTATGCATACAGACAGTATACATATGCATTTTAAGTTATAAGAACTATTGTATGTATTAATTAAAACCAATATTTTTTATGCATTTTAGAATATACGTACGTACGTATGCAATTACGCAGTATGCATGTAGACAGTATCGACTGTATTTGCACTTATTTTAGTATTCAATACTTATAAACTCTGGGTCAAGATTTTAATCGTGTGCGCATATAACACGTGATTTCCAATTTATATACAGAAGTATATACATATATAAAATATACTATATATATAATTAATTTATTCAGAATAATGAATTGTACCTACGTATAATAAAATGCTTACGAAGCTTTATTAAGAGTATTTTCTTCCTTCGCGATAATTTGTAAGATGTTATTTCAAACAAGTTTACTTAGTCGTAATCGCTGCTTTACAAACAACATTAATTTTTTTGATAAATAATTTATCGTTACGCTAAATTGATTTATAGGCTTTTATGTTGCATTAAATTTAGAAAAGCTCTTGAGAAATGTTTTAATTAAAGAAAACTAACATTAAGTTCTAATAACAAGTTTACTTACTATAAACTATGCTTAAAAATTCGATATACGTAGCAAGGTTGGCAAAACATTAAGTGATAATATTAGAGCGTTTACGTGGACTTTCCGATCTACGAATAGGAATTATCTTAATGCCGGCCAAATTAAACGGCTAAACGGTTAAACGATTAAACGATTAAGAAAAATTTTAGGCGATTCCAATCCCTATCTACGAAAAGTACATCTTATCGTAGACTTTTCGCATCATATATTCATCGTGAAAGCAGGCAGACAGACTTAAATGTCGTAGAAACAATGTACCCTTTGGACAATAATAAATTTAATTTATATTGTATAATTTAATTTATAAATCATTTTGTAATCATTTTGTACAAATTGATTGATTGATCAATCAATCAGAGAATGTAGAGTTCAATAAAATGTTTCATATCGATATTTATAAAATAGTATACCAAGATCACGGGTATTACTGCATTACCGTTACACATACACAAATTTGTTAAAATCAAAAAAATATTCTCAAAAAATATTCTCTATGCTCATGTCTATTAAGTTTATTAAATTAATATACATGCTGGGGTTGGATTCAGGCTAAAACGATACATAGTAAATGCCGGTCATTTACTGCGTCATCGTTTATTGTTTAAAGTACCTTTCTTGATGCTTAAAAATTATTACGTAGTAAAAACATTTAATATTCGATCGTCTTTAACAATAGATATAATACTGCATTAATTTGTTTTTTCCAATAAAATTATAATTTAACTTGAATCAAGAACGACATATATTGAATGTCCGACATTTACTATGTGTCGTTTTAGCCTTGATCTCTTACAGTATAAGTGACACCACTAATATATAAAATGTATTATTAATCAATTGATTTACAAGAGATCCGCGGGATCTAAGAATTATTTCAATCCCTAGGCTGGGTAAATTAAAGCTGCTAGATGTCCGAAATTAAAAAAAAGATGAATGAATTTTTTTTTACTTCGGATAGTTAATTACAAAAAAAATTTAATAATTACAATGACATGTATAATTAATATATCACCGATAACCTGAGAGACAAGTGGATAAATCTACTTATGTCACGAAATTATTTGTAACTGCGCAATATATTTTAATTCATCAATCCATAACAAATGAAACTTTTTTTTTTAAACCGAATGCGGAGTAGATCACTTTTATATCACAACATAATGATAAATACATCATTATTACGAATAATGACAAACTTATCATACTATTACGATTTCATACGAAACTATCGTAATTTTGATGACAAATCAAAAGTCAATTCACGTAAAAAAAAAATTTCTAATAAATTATTATTAAACTCAGTATCGATGACAAAGACATATAAATACAGGTCATATAGACATTAGCTCTGTTAATTCTTTTAAAGGTAATATAATAAATATTTTTTAGATTCTTTTTTTGAAATATTTTAACTAAAAAAAAAAAAAAAAAACGTATCTCTTTTATAATATTAGTAATAAAATATTTCATAAGAACAGAATGAATTCACCTGATAATAAGCAGAAAACGCAAGATAACGTTGGAGAAAAAAAAAAATCTAATCAGGATACAACAGTCGATGATGAAACACAAACAGATTTAAATAATAACGTCGCTCGATCATCAATAGAATCTTTGCTTGGTTTTGTGACGCCAAAAGAAGATACTATTCCTATTCACGCAAAAGAAGATAAGGTCGAAGCAAAACAAGATTCAACCATTGTTGGAATTGGAGAGGCACCTATAATAATTGGAGGAAGGAAAGAATCAACCATTAACGGAAATACATCATATATCGCATTTACACCACAACCTAATACACAGGGTTCACAAAACGTTCTCCATTATTATGCGCCATCTCATGAACCTTCACAGTCTCATACTATGACACCCATCAGATCAATCTGTAATGTTATTTCACCTTTATCTTCGCATATACCAGCACCAACGTCACAACATGTATCACCGAGATTACATACTACCGAACAAAATTTAATAACGGATATGAACGGTTCACGACAAGAACCTCACACCATCTCGTTCTATCCTCAACACATGCATATGTCGATTCAGCCTACAGTATCAACAGCTTATTCACATATTCAATATGAACACGCAACGCATGCTACGACGACGATGAATCATCATATTTTACGTCATCACCAAATTGGTCATCATCAACATGAACATCAGTCATCTGAAACACAAGTGATTCAACAAGCTCAACCTATTATTCAGCAACAATTGTCAGTACCGGTACAGACAAATTCACATAGTCTACCCACACTTCATTATCCAATCACGAATCAACCAATAAAAACTCAAGCTGTATCGGAGGAAGAACGTCACAGAAGACGTCTTGAACGTAATCGTATAGCAGCTCGACAATGTCGAGAACGTAAAAAAGCTTATGTCACAAATTTGGAAACCCGAGTCACAAGACTTGAAGAAGAAAATTCAAGATTACGGCAACAACTTGGAAATTTACAAACAAAATTAAGTTACTGTCCGGCAGAAGTTCAGGAAACTTTGAGATTGTATTGCTTGGTTGAGGATTTGAAGGAGAGATTAAGTAATGGGCAAACAATAAAGACTGATCCGAAAATCGGTGGGACATAGTGAAAATTGGCTAAAATTTCTAAAACTTGGATGGATTTAATTAAAGTTTCGAATTGAGCTGTTGTTTTTTTTTTTTTGATTTGCTTTTTGCTTTGTGAATAGAATTCGTGAATAAGTTCGTGAATAAGTTCGTGAATAGAGGATTTGCGCATATTCAATTCAAAACGTACATAATTTATTATAATCTTTCGTGTATTTATTTCGTAAATTAGTTTATTCATGTTCATGTTCATTGGTATTTGTTTATTATAAAGTTTATGCAATCTAATGCAGGCGTAATACGTATATAATCTCATCATCAATGCATTCTCATGCTTATTTTAATCTTTTAAAAAGATGCACAAGTGACGTGTAGTTTATTTTTTTCAGGTTTTTTTTTTTTCAGGTGATTATCCAAAATTAAGTATATGTCACAATAAATAAATAAATATATAAATATGACAGTTAATAATTTACATATTTAACGTTAACGATCTAACTGAACCGGGTTAATTCACGTGATAATACTGTAGGTAAACTGTTACTGGGGGGTCTAATTACAAACCAGGGACGGTGAATAATATCGATTTGATTTTGCAAAAATATCGATCGTTATCGTGCAAACTCTTATGATCATAGATTTTTTTCTTGTTATTTTTTGTACGTTATTACGTAAGCACAACAATCC